ACCCCCCCCCCCCCCCCCCCCCCCCAAAAAAAAAAAAACCACCGACAAATTATTATTATTATTATTATTATTATTTTTTACCACAACTCCCCAAGTTAATCCATTACCGTTAGATTACACCACTCGGTGGTGGAAAAAAAAAATTGTTAAATCCAGGCAAAGGATGTTAGATCGTGAATCCGGTAAATCTACCGATTATATTGCCGTTTCTTTTCACGTTTCTATGAAAAGAACGGGCCTTATCCTACTTGAATGTTAAATTCAAGTGAGGATGGTATTGATTCCTTCAAGTTCCGTATTTTCCTATTGTGCTCCAATAACAAAGAGACGGCAAGAAAAGATATAAACCATCAAACATATCAGTCTAATAACAGTACGTGGACTACGTATACAAAGCAGAAACATTTTATTAAGGATAAAGGTTTTGGAATCATCCATAATCCTTCAACATAACACAGAAGATAGCAGCAGAAGACACAATTAAATACTTTCACGATACAACTAAGCGATTAATGCAATAAATACTTGAGATCGATAGTATACTGGCTACTGAGTCTTCAGGTGACGTAGACTACATGACGCAACTTAGTGTACCGGTGACTGCTTAGAAACCATGAATCTTGATGTTTTCCTTCTTCACAATGCCAGCCTATTCAAAGAACATGACACAAATTAAAAAGAACCTAAATATTTATAGAAGAATGGAAAGTCAACGATAAATACACACATTCGTTATGAATGGTTATTACCTGCACAAGGAAGGTGGAAACATTCTTTCTCTGGTCCCCTTGAAGCTGTATGACCTGAAAACCGTGCAACGCCACATTTTAAGGCTCAAGGTACTCAAAAATGATAAGCACACGCAGAACAATAATGAAAGGTATATCAATGTTTTCAATACAAGCTCAGGTCACAGTTGAGTTATCCTGTTTTTATTGACATGTGTGACTTTTTAATATTAGTTGACATGACAAGTATTTAACACCTACCAATAAAAATTACAACTCATAAACTCGTTCGGAAAAAAAGAAAACTAAGATCGTAGCACCATTCTACCCAGAAATGCGCAAGGAAAATTCATGACATTCAAGCAAAATTTTTAGGGGGCGTGAACAAAAAATTGTTTCCCAGAATCAAACTGTTGACAGCATTTGTATATACGAATACTATCTGTAGAGAAGATGCCTTCCAATGTACTAGATGTTTGGAACAGACCTGGCCTAACTCTGGGTCCTGGACAACAGTACCATTACAGCAGAACTCTTTCTTGAGGTCCTTAAGTATCTTGCTATAGCTGTATTGCTTCTTCAAACCTTGCACAGTGGTCAGACTTTTCCTACCATTCCGCTGCTGTACGCGAACATGCACATACTCTTTTCCCCCAGCGCTGGAGTCATCAGCACTTGCATCAGCAAAGGGATCTGCCCACGTCCCACCACAAACCAATCAAGAGATTAGATTGATTGCTCTTAGAGAACAATAACGACTTGTAGATCATATAAATAGGCTACGGAGAGAAGTAGAAATAGAACCTACCAAAAGCAGATGGAAGCTGCTGGTCTAATTCAGACATGAAACTTGACTATTGGATGTAGAAGAGCAAGTGACCAACAAGGAATTGCGATGATTTACAAGTAGATCTGCTCAACAAAAGGATAACAAAGCTAATGAGTAAAAACTACGATATACGCTGACAAGCCAAGCCTAAAAGTCAGTAATGGCACGATAATATTAAGGAATACAATAAGATACTTGACATAGACATAGATATTATTAAGGAATACAATAAGATACTTGCCATACACATAGATAATATTAAGGAATACAATAAGATAGTTGACATAGACATAGAAAACAACATTTTTACAACTTTAGCCAAACTCACTTTCGTGCAGCTTTTGCTATTGTAACAAAAAGCATATTCTCATTCATAAGAACCCCATATAATCGATCTCGAACATATTGATCATACTTAATACAAATGAGGAATTTCCATTTTATTCGTTTAAATTCAGTTATATGGAAGTTTGGAACGTTTACCCTTTAATTTCAACAAGTAATTCAACAACGCAACCGATTTCTTTATTGTGATTCATCAGATATAAGATATACCCAGTTTATGTTTTCTTGTCCACTGGAGCTTTCCTTGAACTAATTGTAAAATACTACCAAACATGCTCAGATGAACCAAAGAATAACACACGAAATTTGAAAAACTATAAGATGAAAACAATAACATGTAAATCCGATTTTAGAATTGCAAAGTTCTTTCCTTTACGGCTTTATCCAATTATACCCTAACCAATTCACTTGTTATTAAAAATCTAACACCTTAAAAATCCCAAATCAACCAAAATTAATATGAAAGCTCCAAAAAAAGAAAAAAAGAAATCAGATGATCTAAATGCATAAATTGATGAAGACGAAACAGATTATTACGATAAGAATCCAGATTACTAAGGCGATTAGGGTTTTTTTTTTTTGGGGGAAAAGTTCCGTAGCACTGGAAACGATATAAAGATTCCCAATTGCAAACATGACAGGTTCATAGTTAAAATCAGATCAAATCAGACAGACGGAAAGTACAAGATAGATAAACAATTAATCAAGTAAAAAGAAAATCCCAGGAAAACAATAATAATATAAAAATAAACAAAAAAGAAGAAATACCTAGATACGAATGGCGGTGAATCTACGCGAGCGACAGAGATAGAAATGGGAAATGGGAAAGATTTGGGTTAGGTCAGAGCTAAATATATAGTATTGAATATTTTTATTCCAGCCACACAAAGTCACAAACTTTTTTCTTTTCTTTCGGGAATTCTTTGGTGTTGTGCGGCTGTTTTGAACTAGCAGTGGAGCTAGATCGAATGGTCTAATAGTGATGTGGTGCTGACGTCTACGGCTGGAATGTTGTTATTAGCGTGGCTGGCTGGTTGCCCCAAATCGGAACCGACCTTCTTTTTTTTTTTTTTTTTTTTCCCTTCTTATAAGTGAATTTCCATTGCATTACTAAATTAATGTGACAAATAAATAAAAATGAAAATTAATTAATGTGACCAAAGCCAAAAACTCTTTTTTTTTAATATTATGCTTCTTATAATATTAAAAAAATAAAGACACGCTCATTTATACACCTAACTACCTAACTACTTGAGTTAGTCTAAATGACTAAGGGCTCGTTTAGTTCGCTGATTTGAGTTTTTAATTCGAGTTAAAATATAATTTTATGTGAGAGTTTTTTATTGTAGCAAAAAAGTTAGATGTGACTGTTTCTGAGAACTTTTTACTGTAACAAAACTTAAATTCTAAACTCAAATTAGTGAAATGAACGGGGCCTAAAAGAAATTTGGATCATTTGTGATTTGAGCGTGTCATCTTTGTGCAAGGCTGTATCGTTCTAATTTTATCAGATGTCTTGAAGCCACAAAGAAAATAATATTTTTTTAATTAAAGTAAAAGATTTGAACTCTAGTAGTTGATCTTGGAGTTTAATTATTATTAGACTACACCCGTAACTACAATTTCAACTACTAATTCGGTGCTACTTTTAGTGTTATTTTTAACATATATTAGCATATATTATATTTTGACATCTTATTTTTATTGGTTGATAAATCGACCTTTATTAATCATTACAATGTTATTGTTTTAAAATTATTTTAAAACTAAATTTTTACTTTTATAGAATTTAAATATATATAAACATTTGAAATCAGAGTAAAAAATAGAATAAGATATTAAATATATTATTTTAATAATTTTTAGTATTAATATTATTGGAGAGACACCACGTGCGCTCAACACATTTTAGGAGTTTAAGTTGACCCAAAAGGTTAACCTATTAGGTCTTGAATCCTTCTATGTATATAACTCATTTCACATCTTTATCCACTTTTTATATGGGACAACACACACATACACTTTTCTCAATAATCTCTCCTTATTGTGTGTGTTCACCGAGCTTCCTCTCGAACTAAAGTTTCAAGTAGCCAATATATTCAAGCGTCACACTCTCAACGGGAGCCAACTCAAGTATGAGAAAGAGAGCCAAAACCATGTGAGTCCACTAATGCTCTACCAAACTGCTGGAATACCAACTCTCCACGGGAGACAACATGAGAACTGCAATCGAGTGTGATCGCTTTGCTCTGATACCACTTGTTAGGAAGACGCCACATATGAAACTGGCCCAACACACTTCAGGAGTTCAACTTGACTCAAAAGGTTAACCTATTAGATCTTGAGTCATTCCATATATATAACTCATTTTATATCTTTATTAACTTTTTATGCGAGACAACACACATGCACTTTTCTCAATAAATATAACATTGACACTTGTATAGGAGATGGTGTAAAATAAGTTATTTTTATAATAGTTGTGATTCGCTTTTGAAATTCGTTAGACAACACCAAAGAAAATAACTTGTACAACCAACACAAAGACAATCTCTTCCTGTATCTTTCTCCACCACTTATGGCATTGATATCGTTTCTATAATTGCCTTCAAGCGGCTTATCCAGGTGGCATCGTACACTAGTAGGACTTGCAAGAAATGTGATGATGCTCGTCAGTCAGTGGTTGTGCTTGTCTATGGTGGTGTTCTTCCATTATCGAATCCTTCGCAGGTGGTGGTTCGTGTCAAACCACACTAAAATTCGAATTTTAGATATTGCCAAAATTCGAATTTTAGATATTGTGAATGTTAAGCCTTCATTTGTCCTAGTATGTTGCAATGCTCATCAGTTGTGTCCAACTTTTGTTATTAAACTTCTACTATGCTCCCCAATTTAAAAAGATCTGGGTCCCAATATAAAAATATTGGTAATTTCAAAGTTGGGATTTTTTTTTTTTGTTTTTGTTTTTGTTTTATGCTTTGAATCAGAAGATTTAGAAGCAGGAAGGGCAATCCAAGAAAGCCCGTGAGTTCCTTCGGCCCAAGTTTCACCCTTAAGGCCCATATGTCAAGCTGCTTATTATATGGGCCGAGAGACCCATACGATCCTCCTGGGCCCTAGCACACTAGGGTGTATCCACGAAAACGGGCACTTTACAGGAATACTAAAAGTTTTAGGCACATATGGTAACAAACACAAACTAAATACTTTAGAAATCATAAAATCTATAAAAATTACCGAAGTATAAGTATAATTTTGCTCAATACATTAAATTTAAATGACATCACTGTAGTATATTTTATAATAGTTTTAATATCAATCACAAAAGTCAATCAAACCTTAAAAATCATAGCATATTGTCTAAATATCTCTACAGAAACCTCATCAATGATATTACTCTCTTCGGTCTCTTCGCTTTAATGAAAAAAGTGCTTCTCCATTTTCATTTGCTATTTAAAATTTTGATAGAAGTTCTTGACAAATTACACTAACATATCTATGGAGCGCGCAATTCCAAATCAATATGATAATTAAAGAGAAAAGGGCAATTACACGTTGCAATTTTCCCCTAAAAAAAAAAAAAAAAACATCATATTCTTTGCCACTATTTTGGAATTATGTTGGTTCCCTTGCTGCTGCATGATGCTCAAACGTGAAGAGGCTTTGCATTTGAGGAACGTAACTGCGTATGAGGTCGTAAACTTATCATTATTTTATTATCATGTCCAAAACATGTCGGTGATGTAGTTGGTAAGGGTGGGGTGGTTTAAGAGAGATCCTATACTCAAATCTTAGGAGAAGCCGGCATTTTAATGGAAAAAAAATAAAAATCACAGTGATGGACTGGCTGTCGACCTCATTTTTAGCAACTTTATTATTCATTTTCATCAAACTTTCTTTATTTTATGTATTTATTTTGAAAAACTCTTTTCATCTAGACGGAGATTTTTTTCATGACACTAAATGTGAGTAATGAGGAGAAATCATCATTTGGAAGAGTACCATTGCTCATTTATTTTACTTTTTTAGTTCCTCTTTTTGTGTTCTCCTTTATCAATTTTTGCAGAGTGGTGTACTTTTTTTTTTTTTTTTGCCTTGTTTAACTCTATTTATTTATTTAAGAGAAAATTATTTAACTTATTTTTAGAGTATATGAGTTTAAATTTTTACTACTTATTTTTAATTAATATTTTTTTAATTAATATAGTTATTTAACTAAAAAACTATTAATTAAGAATAAGAAATAAAAATACATATCTATATATTTTAAAAAGTATTTATTTTATTTCTTTTTTATTTAATTATTTATGGAGTGTCAGTGGCGTTTTGCTTAGTTGCCACCCCTTGCCTAAGAATTTTGCTTGGTCTACTATTTTATTTTTAGTTGGTCAATTTGATTAATTCAAGCAGTTTTGACTTTCAGCCTTTTCCATCAAAATATCCACTCCCTACTATTCTTGCCACATAAAGCCCACAAGAAGTGCTCTCAGCAGAAATGGAGGAAACAAAAGGGAATCATGTGATAAATTAAAAAGATATAACCAATCTTCATTTTCTATTTATTTATTTTTTTACCAAATTTTCGTTTGATCTTATAACAAAAATCACAAATTTACAATTCTTTTTTTTTTTTTAAAAAGAGAAGAAAAGAAAAGAAAGCACCGGTATAACTGGCATGTACTAATAAGCTGCTCATTTCATTAGCATTGCTTCAATACACTAACAAACTAGCGACAATGCAGCAAATGTGAACATTCATTGTTCCTATACTATTGGGATATGTTTCACTTTTTCTTTTTTTTCTCAATTATAAATAGGACTAAACAACAAAATTAAATAAAGCCCTTTATCTTCATAATTTTCTTTTTTTTTTCTTTGTGTGTTTGACAAAGAATAATGAAGGTGGTGGTGGAGAACTTGACAGGAACTCTTTTCTTCATTCAAGTGGGCAACGATGCCACGGTTGCTGAGCTAAAACGTGAGATCGAGGCCCAAGAGAACCTCCCTTGTGACCGTCTGATTTTAATTCTCGATGCCAATGGCAACCGTCCGATCAACGACGATGGCAGTGGGGCCTCTCTCGTTGATCACGGGGTCCGGGATGGGTCCCACATTTTTATCTTTTTCAATCCCCTTGACGATGGATCCAGCCAAAGCCGTGGTTTCACCTTGCCTGATTCTCCCTCGTGGTAGGTGGGCAATGTGGAACATAAATAATTAGATACCGTTTTGTCATGAGTCCTGATCTGATTAATTATGTTTTTGACTTTGTATATTTTTAAGAAGATAAATTAAGATACAAAATTTAGCCCAGCTCACAACCAAACGAAATGAAGGTTTTATTCTCTGTTGCCCTCTTCTTTTTTTTTTTTTTTTTTTTTTTTTTTTTTTTTTTTTTTTCTTTTTTCGTTTGATCTTAACTTTCTTCTTTTGTTTATTATTAGATATTAGAAAAAAGTTGGTTACACATATAACAAATGGTTTGTCTTTCCTCACGCTTGTAAGAAAATAAAATGTCATATGATCGTAGCCTAATTTCAGTTTATGAACATAAACAAGCATGAAAATAAAAAAACAAATCCTCAATTCTCATAATATTTCTAAATGATAACATAAAACTAATATAACAATGTCCAGCGTAGTTTTCTTCTAGATTATATCTATAACTAGAAGAACATTTTTTTTTCAAACTCTAAACAGACTTCAATATGGTTCACCACGAGTGACAGTCCCTTTAAAAACATATAAGAAATCTCCATCTTCCACACCATGCCACCTTAAACTAAAATTGTCACGCATGATTCTCTGTTTGTGTATAAACAAATAATCATCCAAGGGGAGAATTTTTGAGCTCAAAAGCAATTCCCTTAAATCTTTGACACTGCTCAAATCGCTCACCTCCAAAGGAATTCTCGCGCCATTAAGCAAACTCGATGAAGTTTGTACCACCATCATCAATGTCTTCGAGGGAGGCTCATCTCTAAGGCGGTTCACCGTCTTGCAAAACACGACAATTTCAGAGGACTCGCATACTCCATACTCGCTCAGATTTCGATATTCTTCTTCTAATTCTGTTCCGCAAAAAAAGAGTGACATTTTCTTGATGGGGGTTCCATTAATGATGTGGATCTTCTCTTTGAGGCTGCCCACGGTTTCGGCTCTATCCACTTCCATGTGATATTGTTTTGATGAAAACTTTACAACAATCTGAATTTTGTTGTTAATTAGAGGAGGTTGCATATACTTGACTGTGAGGTCAATTTTAGTAGCTTCAGTGACAATTGGATAATCTTCCATGTCTAGTCCATCTACTAACTCCCATCCAGATACTGAAAGAGTTTGAGAAGCCATGGGAATTCCCAAGTGTTGTTCTATCTTCCTTTTGATCTCAACAACAGGTTCTTGGGGTCCAACTTCTATGTTGAATTCGTGTTCCAAAACACAGATTATGACCATCATTTTTTTTTTCTTTTGATGTTCTTGTATGATTATGATCAAGGACTAAAGGGAAATAAGAACACTGGCTCTAAAACACCTTTTATGGCTGGTAAAGGAGTGATTTGAATAGGGAATTATGTGTTTTGCTTATAAAGCCAAAATCAGAATCATGTCAAATAAATGATTAGTAATATTGCCATCCGTATGTTAGTTTCATTCTGAAAGCATTCTGAGCATCATACATAAATCATGCAGAGTCTTTTTTTTGGGTGAAAAATCATGGACAATTTCACTTCAAATGCAGGAAAAAGAAAAAAAAAAAAAACTTGATATTAGTGCCAGTGAGAAAATTGTTGTACATGCACACACTTTAAGCATATATGCGACCGACTGTTATTCCACAAGATTTCGATGAAAAAGAATCTGAATTCTTGTCTATAATACAAAAGTTCCCTAATGCAATTTATTATCCTGATATAAACAAATGAACAACTTTTTTTTTTTTTTGGCTACTAGATCCTTCTAAACGAATAAAATTGTGCATACATGCACACGCTATAAGGTTAGTAAAACAATATCTACTTGTATTTCAGCAAAAAAAAAAAAAAAAAAAAATCGACTTGTAAACAACTGGGTGTTTGACTGTTGCAAAATCTCATCAATATTTGTGGGTGAGCACTATTCAACTTTCAGCTAGCTATAGATTGCTTTCTCCAGTTTTAAAATTGGTCTTCACACATATTTTAGTACATGAAACTAAAGTCAAAGTTTTTTTTAATGGAATAGAGTACACAGCCGATCTCATTCTGGTTCCCATCTTCATAAGTCCATAGGACACACAGTAATATATACATTATAAAAATTTCCCATTTCGGAAGATTCATGTTGTGCATCATACTCTTTAACCTACCAAAAAATATTGATTAAATTTACATATTTATTAATTTATGACCATTTATATCAATTTTCCTCCTCCTAACAACCAAGAATATTATATTTGATTTTGCCTCTTAACCAATACATAACATTATTTATCTGAATTATCCGCTGCCACGAGTTATAACTATTAATTAATAATCTCTCAATCTTGTTTATGTTACTTATATAGTTTTTCAGCACGTTTTTTCTTCATCAGTTGAGCACATAATAATGAATGTGTTTTGCAGTACAAGTTGCTTTACTTTTAACTGCTTAATGATTGGGAATTTGGGAGTTGTTAGCACGTAATTATAAATCTCAACGTCAATGGTAGACAACAAGACGTCGTATTTGTCTCTGGTAGCTTGACTATAAGTCTATAAGAAATTCTGACGGCGACAGAGAATGTTTATCACAAGTTGCGTTTATTGTTATTGTACACAATGATGATAATGTGATTGCGTGATGTATATAAATGCCAAAACACGACTTTATCTAAAGTGCTCTTGTTAACTACCTCATTTTGTAACGTGTGAGCAATGCTTGGCTTCTTTTCTTAATTCGTGCAATACCAATTTCTTTTTTTCTTTTTTTCAAAGTAGAAAATTCTACAGTAATATACGAAAATTTTATACTGATAGGGTTCTACTGTTAACCGTCATATTTGTATTAAATTTTGTAAGTTTTTATTCTTTTTTCCTTTAGACGTGGTCTTAATTAGATTTTTAACATTCGAAAATATAAGTATTAAGAATACCTTGCGAATAATATTAAAGGGTACCAATGGTGTTACGTAGTACAAACTAATAGAGAGTAGATCTCATGACATGAAATTTATGAGTGGTGGACTCTCTCTATTAATTGTAATACTCAACACCAATGGTGTACCCTACCATAAAAAGTCTTTTTTTTTAAAATCATATTTCGTATTTATCTTTGTTCATGTAAATAAGCTATATAGCTAGATTATGCAAGGGAAAACTGATCCGTACCTGTCTACAAGGACGATTACTGTACTTTTTTTGTTTTAGAAAGATATGGATCAACATTGCAAAATATAGGGGGTCAAAACAGGATTAATGTTGAAGTACAAAGGAAGTAAATTAAACATGGCAGCCAACATTCAATACCACACAACTGAGAAGACTTTTTTTTTTCTCATTTTAAATTGTCATTCCATTATATGTCAACTGTTCCTTTGCCAAGACCAAACGTCGCCAACTTGTTAGGTTACATATCAAATTGAAACACAAGTTATGGAAAATGTCACAGATTCATTGAGGAACAATTCAATGGAAGGTTAGCTATAAATACCGGGCACATTGTTGTCCTCACCATCTCACCACTAATTGAATAGTAGACAAGAAAAAAATACTTGTTGCTATAGAGACAACAATGGCTAGTCACAACAAAGTTCTCTTTCTTGCCTTTCTTCAGCTCCTGATTGCGCTTTCTGTCGCATACCCCAGCAATCAATGTGGCTTGAAACTCGGGTTTTATAAGCGGACTTGCCCATCTGCTGAGACTGTCATTGCGGAGACTACTCATCGGTTCATTTCCCAAACTCCAACTCTTGCTGCTCCTATTCTGAGGATGCACTTTCATGATTGTTGGGTCCGGGTACGTCTTTCATAATCATAACACAGCCATTCTATTGTTTTTCTTGACTAGTATCAAGTATAATAGTAGAAGTTCTATATGTGTCTTTGTTGGTCATATGTAATCTCTATTTATGTAATAGTAAATTAAAACTGTCACGTGATAGTATAGAAATCAGTCGGTTAAACTTTTTGTTATGTAGTCACGATGTTGTAATAGTAATAAATAACAATACTTGTTGGAAAGTAGTACTATTTAACCCGAGAGTGTTAAAAAAATAAAAATAAAAAAACCCTCTGTCGTTGAGTCAGTCAACATTTCATCACATACTGAATCTGTTGGGTGTGAGGATGATGTGTGTGTCTGTGTCAATTTGAGTTGTGCAGAATTGGCCATGTCTTATAAGTTCCATAAATACGTACAGGGATGTGATGGTTCTGTGCTACTGGATTCCACAAAGAAGAACACAGCCGAAAAAGCGGCGGCTCCGAACCTGAGACTAAAAGGATACCAAGTCATAGATGCTGCAAAATCTGCAGTAGAAAAGATATGCCCTGGTGTTGTTTCTTGTGCTGATATCCTGGCATTAGTAGCTAGAGATGCTGTGGAAACGGTAACAAAATTACAAACTCTACTCCACAATTTTGATTAATTATATGTGAAGAAACATTCAAAATTAATACAATGATTTGCCAAGTACTCCATGAACATTTTTTTTTTTTAAATGTTAAATTTCAGATTCATGGACCTTATTGGGACGTTCCCACGGGTCGAAGAGATGGAAGAGTGTCATTAGCCTCAGAGGCCTTAGCAAACTTGCTTCCTCCTTTTGCTAACATAACCCGACTCAAACTGGGGTTTGCTTCAAAGGGTTTAAGTGTTAAGGACCTAGTTGTTCTATCAGGTAATACAACTTCAAAGAAATTTTTATTGACAATTTACTCTTCTCTTACTCGATCTTGTTAGAGCACATTACTACAACTTCACACATTTTTGTGGTTTTAGGAGGACACACCATAGGGACAGCTCTCTGCTCTTCCTTCACAAACCGCTTGTACAACTTCACCGGCAAAGGCGACGCAGACCCCACTTTGGAACCGCTCTACGCCGCCAACTTGAGGAA